AACTGTCATCATTAATTGAAAAGCTATTATTATAATTTTCAAGATCATCATTACTATCTTCAAAGTTGTAGTTGCTTTCCTCTAGTTCAATATTGTTAATTAACATATTTTCAAGATTATCACCACTATTGTTGCTAGAAATGTCTTCAAGACTGCCATCAATATTATCATCTTCAAAGCTATCATTATTAATTGGCAAGTCTTTAAAGTCGCCATCTTTATTACTATCTTCAAAATTGTTATTAATTGAAACATCTTCATTGTTCTTAAGATTATTGTTAATTAGAAAATTATTTGCAAGCTTAGCTTGTTTGTAAATATTTAGGCAAGGACATCTTACTTTGCCTGGATGAATTACAATTTTTTGTTTCAAAGTGTGAATACGAGTCATCTCAAAACTAGTGCAACTGATTAAGTAGTATTCTTAATATTCAAATAATTAAACTCTAAAATATAAATTTTACTGCAGTTACTTGCGCAAAGAGTGAATTGTTATTGATTATTTTATTTATTTATATATTGATCAATTACATAGATTTAACTTTACTAATGAGGTAATAGTTAATTTATGATCTGCAAATACCAAAAATATCTGTAATAATAATGATCCTTGCATAATTTCAAAAAATTTTTCTATTTGACTATGAATGCAATATACTGGATATATATATTGTGATTTTAGTATATCGAAAAGTGTTAGATTTAATTTATTTAGTAACCGGTAAGAAGATACTTTAAATATTGTATATACAAATATAAGTTAATACATAGATTTACTTTTCTAAAATAATAAATTTATAGAATTACATATCTAAGTAAATGTGAAGGTTTCATATAAAAATATGCAAAATTTTTGGCCAAATTGATATGAAACTTGTAAAAGATTCTCAATCCTCTATCCTAATTCTATTTTAACTTTGATGATTTATATTATATATTTATTTATAACACATGTTGCATCATTAATTATTAAGTATTGCTTATTCACTATTTTGCTTCAATTATTATCATAATAAATAAACTTAGAAAACTATGTTACAAGATATGCAAATGGTAAAGATAGTGAAAAAGAGTATTATTGCAATACTTGTGCCTGATTCTCTTTACTATCCAATTCTTTTTTTAAAAGCGCTTTAAAACTAGCATCATTAAGGTTTAAAGTACCTCTAGCATCATATATAGTACAATTCAAAGTAAAGCGATCTAAGTCTGTAAATTTTTTTTTTGTCCAACATTTCTTTAACCATTTTCAGAAAATATTCTGATATAAATATTTGTCATATTTCCTCAAATTCGTTCGTAAGTATTGCTTCTTTATCGATCACTTCATAGAAGTGATTGAGAAATGAATACTATACCTCTTCTTGGAGATAATCTTGAATATCAGATTTTACAATTTGAGAAGAACTTTTGATTCTATAAATTAAAACTTAATTAATTATAATAGTTTTATAGTAAACTAAATACATTTTTTTTACTTATCTAAAATCATTAATAAAATATTCAGCGATTTTTCTAAAGCCACTTCGAAGTGCTTCTCTATAGAATCGAAATATTGTATTGGCAGCACCTTTTAAAACAGATAAGTCTTTATGAGAAAACTTTTTAGATAGAAAGCATAATTTAATACATTTAAGAATTATTG